TCAACTCCAAGAAGTCTAATTTTCCCAACTTAGAACAAGCCTAAAATAAATCTAAAAGATGACAGACACTAACTTGGGCATATCAGAGGCAAATTTTATTGAAGCAGATTAGATTTATTTCTAATACATTTATTGAGGACTGTGAGAGTAGTTAAAACACAGCTTTTAATTTTGAAAGAGTGAACATTCCCCAAAGTTGTAGAAGTCTACCTACAGTAAAAACAGAAAACTAAAGAAGACCTGAGGGCATTTGAGAAAGATTTCTTTATCATATGGTAAGGCAAATCTTATCATAGGTAAAACAGTTGTTACCAAAGTTCTTGTGTATCTGCTATAGCAGATGAAACAGTCAATATATGTCTCTAGCAAAGAACTATCAACCTGATCCTTAAAGATATAGAATCTAATGTAGTTTTTGGCTATAAATTGCATATGATAAGCTGCTGAAACATTTTTTTCTTTGTTGTCTAATCAGTAGTATAAGCCATAGTAATCTTTTTTTCCCTCCTTTCCTCTGTCCCTTCCTTCATTAAAGGGATGTGGTTTTTTTCCTGCATAGGCTGTAAAACATTTACCAATGGATTTTGTTTGGAGTATGATTGTTCAGATGCTAGTTTTAAAATGAACACTTAATAATATTGCTTTTTGGATATCTGAGGCCAACAGGATTTTTTTTTAAAAAATTGAAAATTGTTTAGGTCTTAGAAAGCTACTTATAGAATAAATAACAGTTTTACTCTGAAGAATTGGCTAGCATAAAACTTTCTGTGTTTAAAGTCATATTCACGTGCCATATTTAGTTAGTCTTTTACAACTTTCAGACATTATTGTGGAGTGAAATAAAACATATAATGTCTATCATAGGGAGATAGGACTCAATTATTATTCATGAAGAAAAAAGCCATGAGGAATCATTTAGAATGTGGTCCCATAATTTCTGCATGAGATATTCCCGATTTTGTGAATCTTTCAGTGATAGATGTACTATAGATCATAGCATAATAGCCAATATACAGTAGTTATTGAGACTTCTTTCTGGAAAGTATTGCCAATTATTTTTGTTCTTAATCTGTCTATTAAACATGGGAAAAGGAATAGTTATTTGAGAAGTATTAATAACTAGTTAATGAAATTTACTGAATCTATAATAAGAGTGTCAAACGTGCAACGAACCTGACTGAAGGCATCTTGTTCATTTTCGGTTGCCACAAGATTGGGAGGAGGAGGTATGGGAAGTTCTATGCTAACCTAAACAATTCTTTGTCCCGTGGGAACCAAGGTCATTTCTGTTCCCTCAGTTGTGGGGGGGGGGGGTTGAGCTTAATGTCAGAAAGCCCCCCAAACTATTTTATTGGGAAACATAGTTGATTGCATAGATTTGGGAATTTTAACTTTGTAATATTGTTGCTTTTGGAGGGAACTTTATTCTTGGTTTCACTTGGTTTCACTTTTGATCGTGCCAATACTTTGTAACCAATAAACATGTTCTTAGAGGAAAACTCAAGCCTCAAAGTTCTGTTTTAATTGGTCTCATCTATCATAACCATGTGCAGGTGATGTGCACTCTGATTTTATTGGAATCTTACAAATAAATAGGACAGATATGACTAAAATGATAAATAAATGCAATATTTATATTAATTATTGCTAGCATTCAGTGCATATTGTGATATTTACTGCCTGCATGTAAACTTTAAAACAAGATAAAGACGTACAATTTAACAGATGTTGATATATTTGCCTCCCATTGCCAATTCCATTGCAGGAAATGAGGGCTTATTGAGATTTTACCACTAGCTGGTGTTGGAATATTATTTTGATATAATTCAGCTAACAGTGACATATGCCTCATGGATTAAAAATGAGTTGAAGTCATCCCATGGGAAAAAGTGAAAAAGTGCTGCAAAGCAAAGTTGTAATGTTGTTAGGTGCAAATGGGCCTTTTCTGCTGTAGCATCTGCATTGTATTCTTCTCTCATTATTCTTGACCTTTCAAATGTCTCTGAAGACCTGGTCATGCCAGCAGGGCTGGGGAACCCAGGGATGGATGAACTCATGTGGGGCTCCATTAACATCTCTCCATCTATTATTTCCTTTTCCTTTTAGTTCCTCTTTTATACTTTTTAATGCTTTTCTAATAATTATTAATGTTTTTAGGAAATTATTGTTTTATTTTATTGGATTTTTGTGCATCATCAGAATAATTTCCTATGAGATGGATGGCCATATAAATTGCATTAATAAATAAATAAATAAAAACAGGAGCATAGCCTAACAATCTGTGTTTTGAACATATGTGTTGTGAAAGGCTAGGAAGACACTTTGCATGCTTAATTGTTCTATATTTTATTTTTCCTTATTACTCTAGTTCCAAATGATTCTCTATATATCTATTAGTCATCTTAGAAGAACCCTTCACATGCACACGATAAAATAGATAATATTCTATGAAACGTTATGCTAAAATGTAATCAATATCATTTGTTGCTTTTGCTTCAACATTGTGTCTGATAACTTTCTTATGACACTAGTCTTATTGGCAATATTGACATTTCTCTGCTACATATACCAGCTTATGCGATTATTAAATACATAGGCTAAAGATTTAATACACCTGATATTCAACATCTCTAGGTACTCAGTTTGGAAAAACTGCTATTAATAAATCAGTTGATATTATTTTACAGTGCTGGTAACTCTCTCCATTCTTTACTTTATTTTAAGTAAACTGTCATAGTTCCGAAGGAAGAAACTCTTCAAAGAACTTTGAGGCATTGTTTACCTTAAAGAATCTTTAATGAGGGAAAACATAGCTTCCGGCACGTACATAGGCGAAGCCAAAATCTGAATTCTCCTCCCCTAACACATAGTATCTAAGCATAATTCACTCCTTCATTTAACAGTCATTAATCACATTCTCCAATTAGTTTGAAGTGCGAACTTTCCCTCCAGTTGCATAACCCACCATTTCTTATCTCCCCTTATTACATACAATCTTGAAGAATATTCTACTGAGATATTGTTATGGCTAACTAACCCTCCTGCACATTCTTCCCCCCCTCCCCTCCAGCACCATCTAATTCTAACTCTAAAAGTAATAAAACAGGTTAAATAGAAAATGTCTGCATCTTCATATATTGTCACAGCAAGAACATCCGATGTTAGCAGCGTTGACATAAACAGCATTAATACTGTGTAATATTGTCTTATTCCCTTATATGCCAATTCATCAAAAATAGCAAAAATGTATACTTTTATAATTTTCTAATCTAATCTATAATATGCACTAATTTTTATCAGCCACATTCTTTTACATCAGAAACTTAATAATGACATATTGTTTAGAATATTTTTAAATAGAATACAGTCAAATATGCATAACTAAGAGTAAGCTTAGAAACTCAATAAAACAGGCTTCTGGGTCTTTATCTACAGAAGTAGCTATAGAAATATATATATTGTGGAGCAACAGTATTTTTATATAGCTTTTATGTTTTTATGGTATACTGCCAGGGTCACAGAGAATTACATAGGCAGTTTCTAATTTTGATGGATAAATAGATAAATATATGTATTTATAACATATAGTATTTTATACCAGGCTTCTGTAGATGGCTTAGTACTAGATTATATGAATACAACCACTATTCTACATTTTATATGGATAGAAGAAGTGAATGTTAGATTTAATTAATGCTAAAATTTTGCAATAACATATCTCTATTCAATTTTATTTGCTTCAATAATTCAATATTATTTGCTTCAATCAATGGCTTTACAAATTGATTAGGAAAGAAAATAAAATTAAAATATTGAGTTTACTCCTTTTCTCTTTTGTAAAGAATTATTTTATCCTTTTCAAATTTTGAGATGGAAGAAATTATTATATTAGATTATGTACCATTGACTTTTTTATATGTTCATTCATTTATTTATTTTTTAAATCAGTAAACCCAAAATATTTCCTTGTGTAAGAACTACATAAAGAAAGAAAGAAAGGAAAGAAAGAAAGAAAGAAAGAAAGAAAGAAAGAAAGAAAATGACAGAACATAAGACTGCTTATTTCATGGAAACATGCATTTATACCGACATTTATGACAGTTATATGTTTAATTTTTGATATAATTTCAAATTTGAGTTATTCTTTGCCATACTGAAACCAATTTAGGAGAAAATCTAACTATGCAGTTCCAAAGATGCTTTTTTCATGAAGCAACTGGACTTTCTTGTTTTTCTTTGAAGATATTTCTCTTCTCATCCAAGAAGCTTCATCAGCTCTGACTGGATGGTGGGGAATGGCAGGATTTATATTCCTTGCAGACAGCTGGTCATTTGTATTTTTTTAGCGAGTCATTGAAGCCCTTGGAGGCTTATCTGTGTTGTCAGGGTCACCTGAGTAGTGCCAATGGGTATGGAGCTTTCTTGGAACTGTTGAAAGGACTGTGTTGTAGACTGGAGATAGCTGATGTCATATCCCTCCCCCACTGTTGAGAGAGGGCTGTTCAATTTTGACATAGATGGCCTCTTTGACCCCTCTTTCAAACCAGCGGTCCTCTCTGTCCAGAATGTGGACTTTGCTGTATTCGAAAGAGTGACCTAACTATGCAGTATTTGCTTTTTATGAATAGCTGTTCATTTTTATTGTAGTTTGTATGCAAAGAAGCATGTTTTCTATTTCTTTGTTGTTAAATTACTTCATAACTTTCTGGTCCATTTCTGATGCAGATACCTGGAACTAGAAAGCAGCAGCCATAGAAATGAAATTAGGTTGCACTATCGTTCAGGAAACCATCGCTCACACACCGAAATATTTCCTTACATTTTGGCAGATGACAAGTGGCACAGGTTGTCCTTAGCAATCAGTGCATCGCATTTGATTTTGCATGTAGACTGCAATAAGTAAGTTAAAAGTTACAATTTGTATCAGTAACTTGTATGAATTGAAAGACCAGGACTTCTTCTAAAAAGTATTTTACTCCTACTTTCTTTTTAAAAAACAGAATATATGAGAGAGTGGTGGAAAAGCCATATATGAATTTACCAGTTGGCACTACATTTTGGTTGGGACAGAGGAATAGCGCTCATGGTTTTTTCAAGGTATGTTTTTTTTCTTGAAATCCTTTTACCAAGTTTAGGTAGATATAGTCATTTAGCTTAAGCAATGTGTATATGATTGTCTTATGATTTTAGTTTCTCCAGCTTAGGACACTCTGGGATTTTTTGCTATTTAAATTAGATTTTTTTGTGTTTTTGTTCCATGTTTTATAAAGTTAAACTTGATATGAAGTTCTTTTCCTCCTATCCTGAAAGAAGAACAGGTTGAGGTAAACATTACACTAATCGTCAAATTCCTCTGTTAACTATCTGTTATTATATTTAACACATAGAAAGTCCAGAAATAATTTCCAATCTCTTATAAAGCTGTCTAGTCCATTATCTCTACTCCAAGAAGTTAATTTTGCCATCTCTGTTAATTTAGTCAATTTCAAAAGCCATTCTTCAACAGTCAGCATCTCTTCCCCACCCCCAGTGTTTGGCAAGTACAATCCCTGCAGTCATTACCATGTGAATGAATAGCACCCCAAATTGTTTTTCAATTGGCTTGTCCATCATACCTAAAAGAAAAACTTCAGGTTTCATTAATATTTGTATCTTAAATGTATTTTGCATTGTCATTGTTATGTTTATCCAGTATGTTTTCACATGTTTGCAAAACCATCACATATGATAAAATGAACTTGGATTTTGACTACATTTCCAGAACTTACTAGAAATCCCTTTATATATTTTTGCTAGTCTACCTGGGGTCAAGTACCAATGATACATCATTTTATAAAGTTTTTCTTTCGAACTATAATTTAATGTAAATTTTAGTCCATTCATCTGATTTATCTAGCATTATACCCAGCTTATTTTGCCCATTTTACCATAACTCTTTTTAATGTATTATCTTCTAGGTTCATCTTGATTTTTTATACTTTAGAAATCAAGTGGTCACTTCCAGAACATAAATTAGCCTCCAGTTCAGATTTAATTCCTGTGAAAACAAAACTTTTTAAAATCAAATTTAAATCTTTCAAAATTCTATACTAATTAAACCAATCACAAGCAAATTCTTCACTTATTAATTGTTCTCTTGTATTTATCTTAAGTCCCTCTTTTTCAAATATCAATAAGTCTCAATATGCCATTTTGATTTACATTTTGATATCATCTCTGTTCTATGTAGCACTTTATCAGCTAATCTTCTTTTATACTTCCTCTATCGATTGCCTAATAGCATGAATCCTAAAACCAGGGTTAACTTTTACTTTATCATACTATAGATAGGCATGCCACCCAAATCTCAAATCAAAACCTTCGAGGTTTAACAGCCTTGAATTTGTTAAAGTTCTTTTAAAACGTTTAATCTTTTAACCATACCAGACAACAAGCATCATAATATAATCTAAGATCTGGTAAACCCATCTTTAGAATCTTGTAGAACTTATATTTAATTCTTGGTTTTTTATTTTGCCAAATAAATTTAGATATATCTTTGTGCCACTGTTTGAAAATGGAACCTTTTAATCAATATTGGTATAGTCTGAAATAAAAATAACATTCTAGATCGTTTATTCATTTTAATTATTGAAATTCTTCCCATTAATGAAATCTAATTTTTGCCAACTATTTAAATCCAATTTTATCTCCTTCCATATTTTACCGTTGTTAAGTCCGGAGAATAATGGCGCTTGAGACGAAGCATCTCTAACAAGTATTTATTGTTTGCTTCCATTCTACGAACAACCAGAGCAGAGGCACGCAGGCCTCTATTTATACCCTCTGATCCCCGGGCAAGTTCAACCAATCATGAGCGCCCGAAAAGGGCGGAACGCGTACGCGTGTTCCGGCCGCGGCGAGTCAGACCAGGGCCCGTCGAAGACGTTTACGGGCCCTGAGAACGTTGCAGGGCTCGGTGCCTCTTGCAGGCTCAGGACACAACACCCCTTCCCCCTGGATGAAATAAGATTGCGCCCACATGGACGCCATCCTATAGATGGTAATATAATTAATAATGAGTTGATGTTACACAATGTATAAGGTGTGGGACTGTTCCTTTGAACCAGAACCAGTGGCCCCCCGACCTTGTTTTGTTAAAGACAACCAGTCAGTACCTTTAGGTCATCTATTGCTATATACTTGCACACCTTACGTAATCGGCTAGGTATTTGGGAGGGCCTCTTACCCTGAGCGACCTTCTCAGACTTGGAGAGTTTGTATTGTTATCCCCGTTGCTGCTTATACTAGGTGAAGTGCCCTGTACATGACCATTGACTTCAGCTTGACTTTCCAGCCCGTCTCCAGTATTTGAGCAGTCAGAGCCCTGTAGGTCGCTAAACCTGTTTGATCTACCCTCAATGGAGTTGTCTAACCCCTCTGAGTTCATCCCCGTGTTTCCTGGAGGAGTGCGGGATTCCTGGCTCGTTTCTGTAGTGCTAGGGACTAGGGATGCCTCCCTGTTAGCCCTGATGCGTGAGGACATTCTTCTCTGAGCCCTTTCAGTAAGGGACGTGTTTCCCTTTTGTATTGCCTGCTCTCTTGCATGTTGTGAGTTGTGAGTATGCTCCCAGGTATTCTCCGTGTCTGGAGTATTGCTTGATAGGGGTGGATAATTAGTCTGCCACCGGTGGGACTCCCAGGCTGGAGTGTGTGTGGGGGTGTCTATGTACTCCCTTTCCCAAGAACTGCTGCCAGAAGCACCTGTGGAAGTTGGGTGTTGCGTACCCGTTTCCCTTTCCCCAGCCAACGTAGGCAGTTGATTTTGAATCCCAGAATGCATTTCCCATTCCTCCTCCCCCCCAGAGGAGACTGAGAAGGAACCATAGGCGATTCCCGCCTCACACGTAATTGATCGATGTGGCGGCGAAGTACGCGGCCGTCTGTCAGGGACACCTCGTAGGACAGAGGCCCCGAGACTTTGCAGACCACAGCCGGTACCCAAAGGTGGCCAGGCCCGTAATTCCTGGCCCAGACAGGATCACCTTCACGTAGGACCCGTGGTGGGTGTGGCTGAGACACCTGTGCAGCTA